GCTTGGAGATGACTTTTTAAACTTTTTTTCTTTCAATTTCTTTTCCCAGTTCATTTTTAGTAACTGCAGTGCCTGGACTGAGGGGCAGCCACATAGGAGCAACAGGGAAAACCAAAATGTCTGTAATTTAAAAAAAAAAAAATCACTTCTCTGGCTTCCTATTTCCTGAGCTGATTGTTTCAGGAATTGTTTGCTTAGGAGCTTGTTTCTCAAATAATTCTCTTTTCATTAAAGAAAAATATATTCCACAAATTCACAGTTGGAGTTACAGAAAGCTATTGAAATAGGAAATTGCTTCTTTAATCACCTAAATTAAATAACTAGCAGAGTAGCACTTCAGGAGTGATTTTGGAAGTGTAGTAATTACTTCTTTTACTGCAGCTATTTTAAAATAATTTACTTTGCAATTTTTATTTGTAAATGTTCTGCAATGACTACCAGTTGCCATTTTTCTTGTTTAGGCAACTCTGTATATTTGACAGCAGTTACTGAAACTGATATGTTTATAAATTTAATTATGGATAAATACACTGGTTTTTCAAACTGGTCTTTTAAGGCCAACAGTTTTTTGGGAACTAGAGCTGATTTTCAATTAAATAGTTGCAAACTGCTTCTATTCCAGGAAAATAGGATACAGAGACAAACTAAAAAATACATTTGTACCGACTTGGTAATTGTGTTAATTACAAAATGGGTTCATTGATACTGTAAATGGTCACAGTAAATGTAAATGACATTGCTGACCATTGGCTTTTGGTGTTACTTCATGTATCTCTCTGATAGTTTGATTTTTAATGGTGAAAAGAAAACCACACTGATGTGTGTTTTGTTACTTTAATTTTATTTTTTTTTTTTAATATAGAACAGGTATTTTGTGTTAAACTATGAAAGTTATTTTTCTTCTCCTTCTCTTTAAAGCCAGATTCCAGGAAGAAAATATATGTCCAGAGTCAAGGTGAGAGCTTTGAAATAGTGATGAGGAAATTCAATTTCTGTGATTCATGTGCTGGTGCTGGGTGTTTGTGTCTCTGCCTTCTCTGCCCCGACACATTTTGCTGCAGTGGGATGGGGTTTGAGCTCCTGCTCCCCTGCAGTTGGGATTTTTGCCACTGGCATTAATTGAGGCACTATTTCAGTCTCTCAGCCAACATTTTTCACTCATTTGGGGCTTTTTCAGAAGTTTTCCCGGGTTCCTTCCAGCAGGAATCTGAAGGGTTGGGTGACACAGAAGGCAACACCGAGATTTCCCCAAAGCCTACAGAATGTGGATGCTGAATAAGGATTTTCTGAAACCCCAAATTCCTTTAAATCCCCTAAACTGAATTCCCAACCCAAGCAAATTCCTCACCCTGGCTCCATCACTCAGGGAACACTCAGCTCAGTGCTTTGGGTGTGATTACTAAAGATCTTAATTTGATTGATTGAAAAATAACTGTGGATTCCACAGCTCATTCCATTTTGTGCGTTTCACTTTCAAAGAAAGAACATTCTTTTCAGAACTGCCCTGTTGAAATAACTCATTCTGAAGTCTGCTTAGCTCATATTTAGTCTACATTTAAGCCTCTTGTGAGTAATACTTAACTAAGAGATTAAATAAATTAATAAAACAGTTTCATTATTAAAATAATTAATCTTTAACGTAAGGCAAAACAAATACATTCATATTCAGGATCGGAATTAATATTTAATTTGTGTATAAATTTAATTCCGTTTATGTTCAGGGCTCTGGGTGTGTTTTGGAATGATGTGCTCCCTCAGATAACATTCTCATGGATATTTTTTATTCTCATGGATATTTTTAAAAGGCCAAATTCAGCATGGTTTTGCTGCTGCACAGGCTCAAACTCTGTGTGATTTTACAGAATTTCTGTGGGAGGGATGCCCAGGCAGCCTGGGGTGTGGAAAGCTGGAGATGGGAGCACTGTGCATGGAATTGGGTGTGTTTGGCTGAATTATGGCTCTTTCACTACAAAAACCCCTCAAGGACCACAGCTCAGCCCTCCAGAGAAAATTAAACACAGGATTCTCTTTTTTTTCCCTCACAGGAATTAAAACTACACCCAGTGAAACCTTTGACTGGTACACATTTCTACAGAATGCAGGTAAAACTCTATTTCTTTTTTTCCTGTGTTTACTGYATTTATTCCTAAGAGGTGTGAAGGRTGAAAGAAACTTAGAGTTTAACAAAATGTATGAAAAATGGCAGAAATCAATGGGGTTACTGTGGCTGGTGGAGTGCCAGGTTTGAGGTGTGCCCAGGGCAGCAGAAGTGATTCCAGTGGGTGTTCAGTGGTTTGGCCAATTCCTGAGCCTGCTGTGCTTTTTGGGTGCAGAGCTACTGAAAAACAGAAAACCTGGGGATGTTTTATTTTGCTCTGAGCCCATCTCTGCTCTCCCACATCCATGGCAGGTGACCTCATTCCAAGTCACCYGATCTTGGCAATGCTCAAATCGCTYCATCTTCCCCCAAAAGAATGATTKATAGGCCTTTTACCCCAGCAAAAATGTTCCAATATAATATTCATCAGTGTGATCTGTGATAGTACAGCTGTTCCCCGTGTTACAAATGAATCCTCACCAGTCAATGGCATTATCACATCAGGAAATGTGTGCCATTAGTCAAAGCCAGTGTCAATTTTAAATTGAGCACCGTGAGGTTATTTTGTTCTCACTAAATCACTGCACACAAGCACGGTGCCACTAAGATTAATAATTTTCTGAAGTGAAATGATTTGTCACTTGCTAGCACAGCCTTAGTGTTGATTTGATCTCTTGTCTGACCATTTCATGATTAAATGAGCAGTCAACAGCTTGAGGAGGGGGAAGCTCCCCCTAAAGTGAATTTCTAATATATTAGAGACAGTTTTTTGCCTAATGTGTGCTAATGCAGAAGTGCAAAATAATTCATAATGTCTGTTAAAAGCAAACTCAAATGCGACTCTAACATCTGTGCCTTATTAAATAATAACTTGGAAAGTGGCATCAGATTATTCAGGATTGTTTTTCTGGCTGTTTCATCTCGTTTCTCTGCTCAGCCCTGTGCCTGTGTCCATCTCTGGTGGCAGCCACCATTTCCACTTTTGTCAGTGTTACACATGGAGGCAGTTTTGCTGTCCCTTTGTGCTTTCCAGGGACTAATTAGGAGCTCCCACTGAATTGGCTTTGCAGGCATTTGCAGTTTCAAAGTGTTGGAAACTCTGCTGAACTCAGAGCACTGAGCAGAGAATGATCCAAAGCAGGAGCAGTTTAGCTCAGAACGATGTGTTTTGGCTGCTGTGGAATTGCACAGTGAAGTTACCTGGGGAGATTCTGAGTTTTTGTGCAGATAAAGCTGTCCAGTCTCCTTCAGCTCATGCCAATTTTGGGGTTTTTTTCAATACTTTTTTTTTCATGATGCTCTGATCAAACCAGGCTGAGATTTCCTCGCAGTCACACAGGGGAGAGTTTTGTCAGGTTCTGTTTGTGTCTGTAAAAGGTTTGAGTGTTCCAGGCTGCAAATTTAGGCTGTTCACTTTTCTAACTTTGAAACCCTTTTTAACCCTTTAAACCTTGTGACTTTTCTAACCCTTTAAATGTTGTGATGCTGAGGAACAAATGGCATTTGTAGTGAGCCACCTCCTTGTATTCTGGTGCTCAAAGAGCAGCAGATTTCTCATATCTGAAGGTGTTTAATGATTTTTTTTTTGGAGGGAGGTAATATTTCTCCAGATAAGTCTTGCCTGTACCTTCAGAAGAACCCCTGAACTTTGGTGAAATTCAGATTTCCCAGGGCAGAATGCAAACAAACAGCACACTGAATTCATTCGAGGCATCACTGTTCAACACCCTTGATGTTCAGGACAAATTACTCTTTAAAACAAAACAATCTTTAAAATGAAACAGGCTCTTCACAACACTTCCAGACTTTTTTTCCATAGAACAGATTTCTTATGAATATTCTTTGTACTGATTTTTTTTTTTTCAGTCATAGGAAACATTGCTCATGGTAGATGTGGCACCAATATATAAACAGCTTCTTGAAATTGGTGTAATGGCTTCAAAATGAATTTAATGGTGGTTTTAAGTGAGTGGCAGAGTGCACCAAATGAATTTTATGGTCGGAGATTTCCAGCCCCCAAATTTGAGTGGTGCTAAACCAAACCTTGAGGAGCCCCAGCTTTTTGTGCATTCCATTTGATGTAAATAGAAATTGCCTGCTGCAGGTGGGAGCAGTGCTCTGAAAGGTTTCTGTTGTGTTCTTATGGCTGCAGTACAATCTCGGTACAAAAATGATGGAATTGGTGTTTTTTTCACAGTCTGAGCAGCAGATTGAGAGTTGCAGAGGTGATGGTGCAGTGTTATTGCTATCTCCCAGCTGCAGCATTTTCACAGGCTGGCTAGTCAACATTTACTGCCTAAATCTACCAAAAAAAAAAAAAAAGGGCTTTTAAAGTTAATTTGCATTCTGGGTACCAGTCAGCTTCACAGTTTGTCCTCTGTGGATGAGAGACTGAGCAGCAGCAGTTAAACAGAGGGCTGAGGCAGGTTTGAGCACAGAATTCAGGGGAAGGACAACATTTGCACCTGTTTGGGACTGGGGCTGTTTCAGGGAGATTTGCTGTGTGTGGGTGTGCAGATCAGAGCAGATGATCTCAGTGTGTCCCTGTGCCTTCCTGGCAGGGATCTGCATCAAGGAGCAGAATTGGAACCCTGAGAGAGGCAGAGAGTTCAGCCTTGTGCTGGGAATGCACTGCCACATCAGTCAGTGACAAAGCTGAGCCTGGCCTGGTCCAAGAGCTCAGCTCAAAGCTGGGCAGAGCTCCCTGAGATCACAGACAGGCTCAGAGCCATCATTCCAGGATGAAAAACTCCTTTTGATATCAGTGCAGTGGGGCTGAGGCTCGTGGGATCCCCAGCAAACATTTAGGATGAAAATCCCCTTTTGATATCAGTGCAGTGGGGCTGAGGTTCCTGGAGTGCAGACCCCAACAAACATTTAGGATGAAAATCTCTGTTTGGTATCAGTGCAGTGGGGCTGAGGCTCGTGGGATCCCCAGCAAACATTTAGGATGAAAATCCCCTTTTGATATCAGGGCAGTGGGGCTGAGGATTGTGGGATCCCCAGCAAACATTTAGGATGAAAATCCCCTTTTGATATCAGGGCAGTGGGGCTGAGGCTCGTGGGGTGCAGACCCCAATAAACATCAGGGACCAGACCCCAACAAACATCAGGGATCATCTGATGAGAAAATGCAGATAACAAAGAAGTCTGCACCAATAAACTCACAAATCTTCATTTACCCAACATTTCAGATTGCTTTCAGGATCATGTGCTTGTTGCAGGGGCAAATAGAATATGCAATATGCTTTTGTGGTAGGATTGTTCTCCTCCTGTGTAATTTCTGCTTCACAACACAGCTATTTTCAGAGCTTGAGACGTTTACATAACCTGGCCTGACATAGGCAGGGCTTTACAGAGGTTTTATGTTTTCCTAAAGCTGTGCTGRGAAGAAAGACCCACTAAGAAAATTGTGCAGGTTTGTGCACTCATACAGCTGGCCATGGTAAAATTATATTATAGCAGCAATAAATTGTGTTCCCAAACTGATCTGAAACCACAGAGCTTTGCTGTTGTCTGATCTGTTAGAAATAATGAGGAACAGGGGAAGAAAGGATTGATTGAGAGTTTTGCAGCCTGATTTTTCTGGATTAGCAGCCTGTCCCTGGAAGTTTCCAGGTTCATTGAACTTCTCTTGTCTTCACAGACACATCAGCAATTATTCACTGTTGGGTGTGAACAGCAGAAAAAAAACACTTTGGATAAAGTTATTGCCTGCATTCCCCCTAATCTGTAAAAAACAAACTGCTTTGGGAAGTGAAAAGGCACAGGGATAAGTGTTAGGGATCTGTAAATTCTGAAATAAGGGCTGGTTGGGCTCAGAACTGTCACACCAGTGCCACCAGTGCCACCAGTCACAGTCACAGTCTGGGAAGGTGCTGATGCTGCCCTGGGGCTCCCCTGCAGCTGCAAATTTGGGTTCCTGGGGTTGTACAGATGGCTCAGGAAACAGCACAAACCCAAACTGGATCTGCCAGGAGCCTGCAAGAGCTGATGGATGATGTTCCTCCAGTGTGCAGAGAGATAAACTTAACAAAAACTGCGAATTGAAAGATTTAGAGTATCAAAGGTTCCTGCCAGGCTTGGACAAATTTCTCTCTTTCACACTCAAGGAAATAAAATCACCATCCTAGGGACTGAAATCTCAGCAATAAACCTGTGGGTCTCCTGCTCTAGCAGAGCAGTCAATACTTCCATGTGCTCAGGAGATGGAAAAATGAAATATTTTCAAGAGGAGTAAAAGACCTGCTGTGATTCAAAGCGTCCAGAAAAGAAAATAAGGTTATTTCCCCTCACCATCTCATCAGGGCTTGGATTTTGTTCCAGAACAAAGCCAAAAATGGGTGAATAAGCCCCAATAATGTGGATTTGGTGTTGTTCTCTGAAGGTCTGTGGAACACAACAGTGAACCTGAAATCAGGGGTTGGAAAATTAATTTTTAAATCTCCTTCTTTACCTCTCAGCAAACTAATGCTTGGTATTACTCACTCGAGGCCTGCAGCTCTCAGTGAGATTAAAGATTTGCAGGAATACATTTATTTTTATTGTGCAGCTGTGACTGCTGGTTTTTTTTGGTTTTTTTTCCTGCTAGTACCTGGAGGGATGGAGTTAAACAAATCTACACTTCCAAAATCTCTTTAGATAACACTTGTACCTATTCCTGCCTTTCTTAGGAAAACAATTTCTTTGCTGATGCTTCAGCAATTATTTGGGTTTTTGTTCTGTGATAATTTTTCACAATCCACCCTTCAATGCTTTTCCCACTGTAGTTGCTCATTCATGGAACAGTTTGGAGTGTTCACCTTTTTTATCTGCATTAATGAATTAATTTTATTTCTCTAATTAATTTTATTTATTTAATTTCTCAGACATTCCCACAGACACAGACAATTTGCATCTGTTTCTTCTGGTGTGTGGACTTCGAAGAGTCAAGGACCCTCTGTATTTAGTGGAAGTTTTCTCAGGTAAGTCGTGGCTATTTGAATATTCTTGTTCTGTCACTCAGTGCCTTCCTTTAATGTTTATGAGTTTGGCATGAGCTGTTTTATTCATTGCAGAGAACGTCATGGTGTATTTACATTTGAAAAAGGGAATTGTTATGTAACCATTGAAGTGCTCACCACATTCTGTCTTTGCCACATCTTCCCCATCCTGCTGGGAATAACAGAGCCTTCAAATCAAAGCAATATCTGATGCTTTTCCTTGCTGAGAAAACTGTTTTGCTGTTACATGCAATATTGATGGAAGACAAAAGAAAAGATCACCTCCTTCAAAATAACTTTTTTTCTGTGGCTGTTACATTGATTTGCATTTGTGCTAATTAATGCTATTGAAATTGGAAGTGAATTTTACCCCCCATTGTTCAGGCTCAGTGCTCAAACCAGGCTGAGATTTCCTCACAGTCACACAGGGGAGAGTTTTGTCAGGTTCTGTTTGTGTCTGTAAAAGGTTTGAGTATTCCAGGTTGGAAATTCAGGCTGCACTGTTCACTTTTCTAACTTGGAAACCCTTTTTAACCCTTTAAACCTTGTGGCTTTTCTAACCCTTTAAACCTTGTGGCTTTTCTAACCCTTTAAACCTTGTGATGCTGAGTTTGTAGTGAGCCACCTGGTTGTATTCTGGTGCTCAAAGAGCAGCAGATTTCTCATTAATTACTCCCATAATTGAGTAATCACTGCAATGGCTGCAGTCACTTCCCYGTGCTCCTTTACAGGAAAATATTGGAGTGATTCTGGCGTGGTGGCAGTCACAGCATTGCACAGAGCATTGTCCTCTGGAGTGATTCAAAATTAATGTCTGGGCTTAGTTAAATCACCCTCGAGTCAGAAGAGATTGTGTGGAGCAGAAAGGCTAAATACTGAATTTCAGATATGTAATTTTGGAGTTCTGAGGAGTAAAGTGAGGGATCTGGTGCACATTTGGTCTGTTAAAGAGCAATACAATATTTGTCTAATTCTTCAATCATTGAGCTATTCACATTGATTTAAAAAAATAATGTTTTTGATTAATAAAAAAGTTCCTCCTCTGTTTCAGACTGGCACAGGAAGGATCCCAGTGTCCATCTGGGCATCATTGGGCCTGCAGTAAGTTGCTGTTGTAATTTTTATCTTTAAATGGTTCCATTTACCTGCAGATAGCACAGATCTGTTCCAAACAGAAGCTAAGGCAGAGGATTTTTGTTAAGGACATGAGGTGCAACCTGGAAGTTCTAAAGGCTGTTCAAACACATCTGAATTGAGGAAGGGGAGGTGATTCCAGAGTTCTGCTGTCAGTAAAGGAYTCCTCACTCAGCACTGTCATTACACCTTTGGGATTTTAGACACTCACAAACTGCTAAAAATGCAAACAAAATATTAGAAAGGCCTGTTTCAACAGGAAAAACTTCAAAATGGGCCTATGGAATATTTTGAAAGGCAGCATTTGCCATCTGGAAGAACTGCTTTCCACAGGCATTGCTAATGAGGGTTTTTAACATTATGAAGGTGATTTAGGTGCTCTTATCCCTATTCTGACATCTTTTGTTCACATGGAGGATTTGTTCCATTCCACCTGGACTTTGATGCCATTTCTGGAGTCTCAATTCACACACAATTCACAATTAACAGTTGTCAGCAGGTGCAAAATGACGTTCAGGTTCTGTCTGACACCAGCAGCAAGGACAGAGCTTGGGCTGACAGAGGAAACCTCTCAATTTTGTAAATTCAGAATCTCAGCTCACTAAAGCCTGGCATAAATTGAGATTTTTATGTGTCCTCATCTCAGAATTATCTTCAATTGGTATCTCTGTCCTGATTGTTCTCTCCAAAGTTCCCAAAGCAGGTGCAGGGCTTTGGAGGAGGAAATCAGAGTTCTCCACGCAGAAGGTGGAAAAGGCACTTTTTTTTGCAAATTTTGGGATTTAGGATTTCATTGTTAAAGCCATTTATAAGTTTTTATCTGTTTTTCTCTCCAAATACACAGAATGATTTGGGGGTGAACTGGTGTGGAAGGCAGCTCAGGTRTCATGAAAGCTGTGCTTTGCAAGCAGAGGATGCACTTGCAGCCTCCAGTGAGGATTTGAAACATTTTAAATTTGCTTCACTTTTTCATAAGCTAACATCTTTACAGACCAGAAATAACCCCGTGGCARTGCACAGGCTGGATCAAGGGCTGAACCTCCTTAAAACATTTTAGAGCATTTTTCTCTCATAGAACTAAAATATTGCTAAAGGAAAAAACCACATCTCAGCTCTATCAGTATTTAGCTGTGCTTTTCTTATTCATGTTGCTTCTCAAACCACMAAAATCTTCAGAAAATCAGTGCCACCATCTATGAAGCATGTAATTTTTATTGTGAATATTAAAAGCCCATACAGTAAGATTATATTAATTAAGAGGAGARAGAACAAAGGCCCACACTCTATTTTCTGCTTTGCTCCCATAAGATTATATATTTGCTGCCATGAGATTATATATTATTTTCTATGCAGGATTGTCTCAAATGGGGCAATTGAGGTAATGGGGCAGGATTGGGGCCTGTGTTATGTAAAATWTTCAGCGTTTGTCTCCACTTCCAGTCTGCCTTTTGTTCATTTCTATAATGAAATTGGGAACAACAGCTAATTTTCAGCAGCTCCATATGCCAAGAATAGGAGCTTATGAAACCTTAGAAAAAGTTAAGGCGACAAAAGTTTGAATTTTTGTTTAAAGTGTTCAGAGCAGGTTCTGCTGAACCTCTCAGAGTTCATTTTATGGTTTTTAACCATGTAGAGAGCACAGAACATTGTTCCATCAGACAAACACTGTCATGTGGGGTCACAGGGATTCCCTTCACAGTGGTGCTGCCAAAACCTCAGAACCCGAGGGAGGAACTCAGCAAATCCTCCCTGTCCACACTGGAAATCTTTGCAGATTCCTCAAACTCTTTGCTCTTAGCACTCTGGGTGATTGGGACAGAATTTTAAACCTAAATTTTAAACCTGTCCTGGGTCACTGCTGTCCCCTGTGCCTGCCCCTCWCTCTCACACCAGTTGTCACCAGCATTTTAAACAAAACCACTGAGCAGCAGATCTGTGGTACAATTTTAAAGCTCAGCATTTAAATATTGTAGTTAAAAAATGTGCTAAACCTGATTTTTCTCCTCTGGGTGTGTTCAGACACGCTGCAGTGCTGCCCCTGACCTGTGTGTGTGCTCCTTTRCAGGTTGATCCTCTTTTTACCAGTGAAGTTAAGGAGAAGGTGAAAAGGTGAGGAGTTGATGTTAAATCTTCTATCTGCTGAATCCTCTCTATCCCAATGAATATCCATGCCCAGTTCCTGTGGGACTGACAGACTTGTGGGATTTATCTGGCATGGAACCTCAGACCAGGTGTTCCAAACATTTGAACTTTTACAATGACCACTATGTTCATGTTTTGTGTTAAATCACATCTGATTTGCTCTGATTTATGTTTATTATCCATGGAATCATGGAATAGATGTGGGATCACCCAGTTCCACCCTCCCTGCCATGGGAACATCCCCAACCCAGCCTGGTTTGTGCACCCCCAGTTTCTCTGGAGCCTGTTCCATGCCTGCCCCTCCCAGAAAGCAATTTTATCCTTTTCTGGGGTGTTTTCCTGGTTTTTGTCATGCTGACTCTCCCCTGTTTGTGCTTTCAGGGCTCCTGGAGTGCATTTGCTGCCCGAGCTGCCCCAGGCTGAGCTCCACGCTGCTCTCAGGAGATGCTTTGCTGTGRTCAACAGCTCCATCTCAGAGGGGATGTCTGCTGCCATCCTGGAGGTAATTCCACCTTTTTGGGAGGGTTCAGTGAATCTGACATCACCTTTGACCCCTGGAAATGTGCTAATCAACACATTATCAACATTAATGTCCCTACTTCACTCCCCAGTGAAGACAAAACTAAAATATTTCTTTTTTGCAAGTGTTAGCAATTAAGTTTTTCTTCCCTTGCACTGGCAGTTTTTTACAATTTGTCTATTTATTTTTAAAGGACAGAATGTAATTTTATCAATCCTGATAAATTAACAATACAGACCTGAGCTGSAGAAATCATTCTGATTTACTGGGGTTGTCACATTGCTTGGATTCAACACCCACTTCCTTCTAATGTTGCTAGAATGGACTTTCATTTATTTTTGCACCCTTTCAAAAAGCAATCTAAGAGCTGTATTTGGTTATTTAATTCTGAAATGATTAATGAATGAATGACACGCTCAGTTAATTCTTTTGCCATCAGTATTGAAAATTAATAACCAGTTTTATTTCATAGCTGTCAGASTAGGGCACTGCTTAGTTTTAAATGCTTTCTCAGAAAAAAAAAATAAGTGTACTGGAGGTGGAAGTTCTGTGGGCAAATGCCTTTTCTGTTCCATTTATGTTGGTGGGTGCTGAATGTTGGCTCATTGTGGTCTCAGATTCGTGTTATGAACATTTCTGCTTCTAAGGAGTTGCATTTCCAGCATTTCCACACATCTGAAAGTCCTCAGAAAGTAAAAGCTCAGTGAGCATGGTGAGAATTGGGAAGGTCAGGTGCTGGAGAGGCAGCAAATGTGTCTTTGCCAAATCCCCAAATGGCAGCTCAGAGGTGGCAGCAGCTGGTGACAGTGACAGGAGTGCCAGATGAGGTGATTTGTGTGCTGGGATGGAGTTGTGTCACCTCCTCCTCACCAGCTCCACGTCCCCTCAGGGCTGATCGTGGAATAGTTGAGTAAAAATCCCCCAAATTCATTTCCAGAGTGTTGGGGTGAGGCAGGAACAGAGCAAAGCAGGGACAGCACCTGGGAGCAGTGTCCCAGTGACACACAGGGACACAGAACCCACAGGAGCAGTGTCCCTGTGACACACAGGGACACAGAACCCACAGCAGCAGTGTCCCTGTGACACACAGGGACACACAGGGACACAGAACCCACAGGAGCAGTGTCCCAGTGACACACAGGGACATGGAACCTGCAGGAGCTCAGACTCTGCTAAAAAATGAGGCAGAAAAATGTGCATGGAAATCTGCTGGTCCAGGCTGAGACAGCAGGCTCCAGTTTGGAAATGCAGCTCTCATGGTCTTCAGAGTGCAACACCGAGCAAGGTCATGAATCTGTAAACAGTGTTWARAATGAGATAAATATATAATRGATAAATGAGATAAATATATWATRGATAAATGAGATAAATATATAATGGATAAATGAGATAAATATATAATCACTTCTATTTCAACCTGCCTAAAGGTAGGACAGGGCTGGAAGCCATAATTAATTACTGTGTCAGATGGTTCTGATATGGCTGAGGTTTTACAGCAACTGATCTGCTTTCTGTTTGGTGTCTGAGGAAGAGAAAACAAACATTATAGCAAACATTAAAAATGCACAGCTCCTCCAAGAGCTCAGGAGTTGTGCACATTCCTGGGCACGTGATGGAAGTTTGTGTTCCTGGATTCCTGCAAAGAACAAGGTTTGGGCTCCAGCACTATTTAAYTTCTTCTGTGCTCTCAAGAATATCCCAACTGTGGTCAAAATCATTGGATTGTTGGGCTTTTCCTAAAAAGAAGCCAATTAAAAAGCCCAAAACATTGCAGAAAAGGAATTTGGACAGACTCTGTTGTGCTGTAAGGTAAAATCCAGTCTTGGCCAACAAGTGAAGCACAGGCTCAGCAGTTTGGAATAAAAGCCATAACAAATTATGAAAATAAAAACTAAAGGTGAAGGGGATGTGGTAAAGCAGTGAAACTGAGTGCCACCCAAAAGATGCATGGGTTAGAGGGAAGAAAATGAGGGACAGTGCAGAAAATAAAGGAGTAAATGAAGGCTGTATTTGCTGTCCAAGCCTGGTGCTGCTGGGCAGGGATGCTGAGTGGGGAAGATGCTCCCACAGCTTCAATTTACACCCTGAATCCTTCTGCAAGAGCACTAAAACACATCTGCAGTCCCAATAATGGAACAAAACAGATGGCCAATGGCCTGCAATGTTGSTTTGTGCTATTATTCCTGGAGCACAGGTCAGTAAATTATACATATTCTCAACAATGCAAATGATTCTTTTTACTGCTTAAAAATAGACTAAGTATCTAAATTAAATCCAAAGCCACTTTGTGCAGTAATTATTTACAGCCCAATCCATTTGGTTGAGGCCAGTGCTATCRAGGCAATGCTGCATCCAAAGGATTTGGCCATCTGCTCTGTCTTCAGCAGCTATAATTCACTGGTACCTCTGCATTTTGGGGCCTTGAAGGTTTTCTTGTGTAGCAGCTCCTGCCCTGCAAGTCTGGGAGACAGAACAAATGTCCTTCCCTTCAGAGTTGRGAAATTACAGAAAATTAAATATAAACTTAGTGCTCTGCTTCAATCAATCCTTTTCAAAAGCAGTGAGTGAATAAACCCTGGCATTCAGAGTTACAGAATAACAGAAATACAAACAAATATTTCAAAGGAGTTCTGTTTAGATCACCTTAGACATGGTATTTTTAAATTTAAAAACTGGAGAGGTGGGAAAGCAGTTTAGGCTGTTGTTTGTTTCTACTTTTCCTATTAAAATTGATGTTGTTAACACCTCAAAATCCACGAATTCTTATAAATTATTATTTTTTCTATTCCTCTAGGCAATGGATATGGAGGTCCCAGTGCTGGCAAGGAACATTCCTGGCAATGCAGCAATAATCATCCATCAGGAGACAGGTCTGCTGTTCTCAAATCCCCAGGTGAGAACACCCCAGACCCTCTGCCCTTTTAGGATTGGGTTTATTTTCCACTCCAGGCTGGCTCTGTCTGTTCCCTTGRCTTTTCCCCTGATAATTTTTGCTCAGATTGCTGTTTGGAGCTGTGCAGTTCAGGGATCTCATCCTAGGTGTCAGCCTTGCTGAATGTTTGAGCTGTTCCCTGGGGTGAAGGATCCATCCCTGATCCATCCCTGAACCCTTCCAGGGATCCCTGGATGGGGCTCATTTCCCTTCCAGTGACACCTGAACAAGCACTGGTTTCACCCAAATTAGAGCTACCAAAAGAGAGTGAGCTCGAGTTTCAGATGACACATTTTCTGTCATTTCTGTAAAGTATTTTTAGATGCAAGATATTGCTCAGTCAGAGAAATTAATGACTAAAATTAAGTCAAGTGTTCAGATTGAAGTCTCAGGGAAGTTAAATGAGAAAGGGGAGAGAGGGARCACTTCCCATATTTAAATACTGGAAACTTTCATTTCAGCATATTTTCCCTGTGTTAGGGCTTTGCTGTTACATATTCATGGGTGCTGTGGAAAATGATTCTCAGAAAATTATTCCCTCAGAGTTTTATCCGATTCAAGATTAAAAAACCCTATTAGAATAGACCATTTGATAATTTTGCAAAGTTGAAAACGYACCTTATTTATTTACTTTGTGGAGTGTGTGATTAATGCATCCTATCAAGTTGTGTTGCAGGAAGGTCAATCCTTTTGGTTGGTTTTGAAGGGGTTTTTTTTGATTGAAAAACTCTTGCAATTCAGGCGTGGTTTTGTTTGTTTGTTTGTTTGTGGAATATTCAATTTTTCAAGTGGTTTCTACAAGAAGATATTTCTTTGATAAGTTCTGTTTGAGTATTCCCTGCAAAAAGCCCCATAAAGTCCTCCCAAATTCCAGGGGTCACAATCCTGTGGTTGTGAAGGTTCAGGCTGGATCACAGCTCAGGAGAAGAATGCATTTTTTATATTTATATAAAATATATATATATAAATATTATATATATATATATATAAATATATTTTTATATTCTTTCTGCTCTGAGGAGGGAAAGCTTTGCAGTGCTTTAGATATGAGAGTTGTGCCTGCYCTCTTGGAAAGCCAAATTAGAGGGATATTAATGAGCATTATGCAACGAGAATTGTGTTAAATTGTGAGTGCTGTTGGCTCTCYTCTTCCATCCTTGCTGGAAGAGAGCTTTTGTGTCTTACAGGAAAGTAGGAAATGTTGTGTCTAATTGTAGCCATCCTTAGCAGTTTGCATTTGGCTGGAAATGGCAAAATCCCTGCCAGTCCCTGGAGCAGCACTCAGGGGGAAACAGTTAATCTGGAACGTTTTGTTCCTGACCCTCCATCATTTGTGCACWTCACTGTGCACTTTGCTTTTAAATCATGGTTTGATCCTGCTGCTGCTGGAATTTGCAAGTTTATGGAATATTTGACACTGAGTTAATGGGACTTGAAATAAAAAAATAAAATAAATAAAGGTAAGAGATAAGAATGGGGCAATAAATAATGCAAAACTGTGTTAGAAGGGAAGACACAAAGAGTTACTGAGCGTGCTGAGCTGGAAAGTTGTGTGTTCAGTGACTGTAAAAGCTCATGAAGGACCTGAGAGAGGAGGAAAATGAACTCCAGGGTGCAGCCCCAGGCTGGGCAGTGCCATCCCCTGTGTCCCTTAGGGCAGTGCCATCCCCTCTGTCCCCATGGGGCAGTGCCATCCCCTCTGTCCCCATGGGGCAGTGCCATCCCCTCTGTCCCTTAGGGCAGTGCCATCCCCTCTGTCCCTTAGGGCAGTGCCATCCCCTGTGTCCCTTAGGGCAGTGCCATCC